AGTTAGAAAGAAATAGACTGAACACACCAATAACAAATATAGAAATTGAAAAAGTACTTTTAAAAATCTCTCAATAAAGTAGGACCAGATGGCTTCATAGCTGAATTCTGCAAAGCATTCAAAGAAGAACTAATATGAATACTTGTTTCAACTCTTCCAAAAAATAGAGTTTGAGGGAATACTTCCAAACACATTTTATGAGACCAGGATCACCTTGATATTTAAGCCAAATATACCATAAGAAAAGAAAACTATAGGCCAATTTCTTTGAGGATTTTTGGATCAATATTTATCAATGAAACATTAGCAAAACAAATCCAGCAGCACATGCAAAAGAATATATATTATAACTAAGTGAGATACACCCATGACATGAAAGGCTGATTTGTCATATCCAAATCAATGTGATGTATCACAGTAATAAAATGAAAGGTAAAGCCACGTGATCATCTCAAATTCAAGTCAGAAAAAGCATCCAACAAAGTCTCATTTTCTTTTTTAATAAAAACTCTCAACAGTCTATAGAAGAAAAGTTCCTTGATAAAATAAGGCCATTTGTGAAAAACCTACAGTGAAGTCAATGGGACAAAATTGGAAGCTTTTCCACTAAGATCTTGTACAAACCAAGAAAACCCATTTCTATTCAACAAAGTACTGGAAGTACTAGGAAGAACAGCAAAAAAAAAAAATAATTTAAATAAGAAGGAAGGACAAACTCCTTGTAGCTGACATAATTCTATTTGTATAAAACTTTAAAGATAACACACACACACACACACACACACACAAATACAAGCTATGAAAACTAATAAATGGATTCAGTGAAGTTGCAAGCTAAAAGATGAACATAAAACATCAGTAGTATTTTTACACACAAATAATGGCCCAATTGGTAAAGAAATCAAGAAAGCAATCTCATTTATCATAGCACCAAAAATAATTAACTCTCTAGGACCAAATTTAACCAAAGCAGCAAAAGATCTATATACAGAAAAGACAATGAAAAAGTGGGCAAAAGATCTGAATAGACATAACATTGAAGACATAAAAATGGCCAGCACATAGATGAAAAGATGCTTCACATCATTAATTATCAGAGAAGTGCAAATCAAAACCACTATGTGATGCCACCTCACTCCCACTAGGATGACTTTTATTAAAAAGTCAAAGATATATGTAAATCAATGGATGTGTAACTGATGTAATTCTGCAATCTGTATATGGGGTAAAAATGGGAGTTCATAACCCACTTGAATCAAAGTGTGAAATATGATATATCAAGAAATTTGTAATGTTTTGAACAACCAACAATAAAAAATTTAAAAAAAAAAAAAGATGAAATTGAAGGGGTTGCTCAGTGGTAAAGCATTTACAAGGCCCTGGGTTGATCCTCAGCATTGAAAAAAAGTTAAATTAAAAAATCAAAGATAGCAAATGTTGGCAAAAGTGTGAAGAAAACTGCTAGTGGAAATGTAAATTGGTATAGCCATTTTTGAAAAACTGTATGAAAGTTTCTAAAGAAATTAAAAATATAACTACCCTATGACCCAGCAGCCCTCCTCTGAGCATATACCCAAAGGAAATAAAATCACTACATCTCAAAGAATATCTGCACTCCCATGTTCATTGCTTTACCATTCACAGTAGCAAAGATTATACAATATTTTTCATAGAAATAGAAAAATCAATCATAAAATTCACATGGAAACATAAAAGAGCCCTAATAGCCAAAACAATTCTTAGAAAGATAAACAAAGTTAGAAGTACCACACTTCCTGATTTAATATTATATTGCAAAGCTGTAGAATCATTGCCACACTACACACAATGGAATATTATTCAGTACTAACAAATAATGTGATATTGCCGTTTGCTAAAACGGATGTTACACTGAATGAAACAAGCTAACCACAGAAAAAAATATATTTCATGATATCACTTATATGAGGTGTCTGACCTCATATCTGTGCGAATTCAGGAATATTCAGAGGTGCAATGATTTGATTATGAAAGCTGTAACCTAATCAGTCCATCTTAGTTTTGCGTGTACTAACTGGGTAGTGACTATAGGCAGGTAAGCTGTGGCTGAAGGAGGTGGGTCAGCAGAAGCATGCCCTGCAAGGGTTCATTTTCCCTGCATCTCTTTCCTGTGGCCCTCTGCCTCCTGGCTGCCAGGAGTTGAATAGCACTTTTCACCATGCCCTTTACCATGATATTCTGCCTAACCTTAGACCCAGAGTTGGTTGACCATGCAATGAGCCTCTGAAACCACGAGCCAAAGTAAACTTTTCCTTCTCTAAGTTGTTCTTGTCAGGAGTTTGTGTTAGTCAGATGTTTGTCACTGTAAACAACGAGATCATGAAGGTGGTTCTTAAAAACATGAGTGTGTTTTTAAGATGAGGAAGGGTCCTGAACTAGCACCTTTGCTCTGTCTCGCCATGCAATGCGCTCAGTCATGTTTTGATGCAGCAAGAAGGCCCTACTAGATGCTGAGTAGATGCATCATGCTCTTGAACTTCCCAGCCTCCAGAATGGTGAGTTAAATAAACTCCTATTCTTTTAAAATTATCCAGTCTGTGGTATTCAGTTACAGCAATAGAAAATGGACTAAGGCAGTTACTCGAGGGGAAAATTTGAATATTAGAACATCATTTAACTCATTTGTAGTTTAATTTTAAAGACAGCAGAATTGTATGTATGTGCATGTGTGTGTATTTTAATTGTCCTACTAGTAAGTAGATATATACACTGGAATCAATAAGGTTTAAAGTCTTACACTTTAAAAATGTGTATTTTTTTAATCACGGAGAGGTTTTCCAATACATCTTATAGGCAAGTAACAGATCCAAATGTTTTCATTTTTTAAATATTTTTATCTGCCAAGGAGTGATCCTCAAATTTTTATTTAATTCATTTTCAAATACCACTTTGTTAAAGGTCTCTGTAACAGACTTAAAAGAAAGGTTATAAACTAATTCAAGCTTTACATTATTATATTCTTTCTGCATATTCTTTAAATGAAGAGGAAAGGTCTAGGCATAAGTTGGAATTTTTGTCAACCCAGACATAGTATTAGAGACATATACTTTTTTCATTCCCAGATTTCATCTTCCCTGGATTACTAGGAAATGATAAAGTGAAAGAAATCAAAATGTCAGAAGCAGAAGGAAGGTAAACTGAGGCGATCTACTGACCCCACTGGCCATGATTTACCTAAGAAGTCAGTCACTTTGAGTATCCATGAGTCGAAGACCACTTTGTGTTGTTGGGAATCACCTCCACATAATCTGCTGGCTGAGGCAAATGAGTTAAATCTCAAATGCTAGAAATACAGTATATTGGTCAAACACAATAGATTCAATCTTGACCATCCCTGAGAAACTTTCAGATGAAGAAGCATTTCCAAAGAGAACAACTGTGTAAAAAGGATCTGACAATCTTTCTTACTTATCAATGAATTTTTCAAATAAAACTTATAAGAAATAATTACATTTTCCTACCCCTTAGGCTCATTTGAACTAAAATAAAATTTCAAACATACAACCTGGTAAATAGCACCATATATCCTGCTCATTCAACCTGGGGTTACCAAAACCTTCCTGGTGTCATCATCAAGACAGCTCTGATTGGCCTATTATACTGTTATTTTCTCCCAGGAAGACTCAGGCCAAGATGAAATGGGACTAAGGTGCAGCACAGAGAAAAGGAGGAATATGGAAAGCACTGGAAGGCTGGAAGGCTGGAAGGCTGGGAGTGTGAAATGGGCTAGGCTGAGAGGGAATTTAATTGGAGATCCTGAGCCCAAGAGCAACAAAATGACAAAAGGCTAGGATGGCCTTTTATAAGAAATTGAAAAAAAATGGGTAAATGGATCAAAAGCCAACTTCACTTTATCCACCACTCTATCTCCAGCATGTCCTACTCTTCCAGGCTTAGAGCAGCAACTACAGGCAGGTGGGGAGAGGGCCAGGAGTACACAATTATCTGTCTGCCTATACCAATGCACCTTCCTTCCCCCATGTCGGCTAACATTTCCTAAGAAGGCAGAACACAAACAGAATACCTGTGGGTTGATGAAGAAGTATAAACAGGCAGAGAATAGCAAAGACCTGTTACACCTCCCTTCTTAGGGGGGTCAATTTTGCAGCACTTTCTGAGTTCCTGCAGGCTGTTTTAGCTTTTCATTATGTAAAGGTAACCCTCCCACATCCTGTTACTTCAGAGATGGTGGGGGTCTGTACTCAACTATCATCACAAACTCAAGACCCTGTTGGTGTAGAAACGTCGTTCGCATTAGTTTCTTTGGGGACTGGAGGAGACCTGGGATAATCGAGGTGGGTGGGGCTAAGCCGTAGGGGACAGCGTAGATAAAGGACTGCATCTGTAAGCCGACCTGCCCATTTGCCACGTCATCGTCATCGTCCACCAGCGAAAGAAGAGCAGAGAATCGGGACGCTATCCCCAGGGGCTGCGCTTGCAGAACCCAGGAACCCAGGAACCCAGGAGCTCACCAGGACGCCCCCTGCTACCTTCCCCGGGACCTGCTTTCTTCCTTCGCCCAGACCTAGAGAGCAAACGCCCCAGGCAGAGGCGTTATAATAGCCACCCTTGGACTGCACAGCGCTCGAAACAGAAAACGATTCTCCGCCAGCGGCCACCAGAGGGCACCTGCGGGCGACGCCCTGGGCTGAACCCTGCGAAAAGAAAAATCGTGAGAGGCGGGGCCAGGGGCTGGAGCAGCGGAAAAGCCCTTCGCTGCTCTCGGCAGTGCGTCTCGCCCTCTCTTCTCACTTCCGGTCCCACTTCCAAGACTCGCCAGTCTGGACCTTCCAGACTGGCTTTCTCTGAGACCGCTAAGAGCCGCCCTCTGCTCCCCGCCCGGCACGCTGAAGCCCCCGCCCCTCAAGGATGCATTACCTAGTGCCGCGGTCACCGTCACCGTCACAGGCACCCTCAACCCCACCCCCAGCCGGTCCCCGGTCCCTCTCTCTCCCTCACCCGCACCTGTTCACAAGCTCCCGGGGATCCCAGGTGCGGGCAACCGGGAAATTCCACGCCCCGCGGAGACCCGCCAGCTCTGGGGAGGGGAAAGGGGGACGCGCAATCCAGTGACGCTCCCGGGCAAATATCCCAGGTGCGTTTGAACCCCTCAGCAGGCTCGGCCACTGCTCCCAGGACCCGCGGCCCTGGCCAGTGCACCCCTTTGGTTCCCCCCAAGTTGAAGGGAGGGATACGCGGGTACCCGACCAGTCTGGGAACCCGAAATCCCATATGGAGTCCCATTCATGCTGTACAACTGGCTTCCCGCCTTTTTGCAATGGGATTCTTGTCCAGAATCTGCGAATCTTCTAGGAGGACAGTTCTTGGTTTTGTTAGAATGAGAAGTTTCCCTGATTTTTAGAAAGACCACGGGGGTAAAATTCAGCTGAGTGTTCTTGAATAGTTATGATTAAATTTGAAGCAACAACTGAATTTTAGTCGGTTGTCAGCGAAGTAGCAGATTTGTATGGACCTACAGGCCGGCAGTGTAGTATGCAGACTCTTAGAAACATCTTCCACTTTGTGGATTTGTTTTAGTTGAAATTCATTTCCACAGAACTTAAATTGCTATTTCTTACTGATTTGACATCAGAGGATCCACAGACTTTCCTGGATTGCAGCCACGGGTTAAAGGGCTTGGTGGTACAAAACATTTTTCCGGACCAGTTTCCCAGACCAAATTTGCCCTCTTTTTCTCTTCTAGATTGTGCCTTTTTAGCCAAGAAGTATGGAGGTGATTCATGGCAGGCCCTACTGTTGCAGGGAGTTAGAAAGAGCTGACATTCTCTCAGACACTTTGTTCTCTAATGAACTACACACTCCGCTACTATCAACCACTCGCCCAACTGCCTCAGAAGACAGGTAAAACAAAAATTAGAAGCAACAACTTTAAAAATGGTTTCAATATATTAGTGTATTTTTTATGAAAAAATAAAAAGTAAACATTTGTTCTGGGGCTCCTGTGTTTATCACATCATAGGGAAGGGAAAACATGACCATGTAGTGTCCCTATTTATTAGGAACTTGGCGAAAGTAAGTTGATGTGTAATTTGATTCAGACATCAAATTCTTCACTACATTCTAGAACTCTAGAGTGGTCACTTCCATCATTTAAAAATTAATTTTAGTCAAGATTTTTTGTTTTATGAAAAGTATTTGTGGTAGTTCACTTTCATCCTCTAACACCATCTGCTCAAAAATACTCCCAGGATTTGTTGCTCATAGTTACTGTCTGAATATTTGCTTTACAAAATTTCCTATAACATATTACTCATTATGATTAAAATCTAACATATGGAGTGATTACTGTGTGTCAGCACTGTACTAAATGCTTTATGTGCAGTAATTCTTTTAATCCTCATGATAACCTTATGAGATGCAAACTATTATCCCCATTTTTACATATGAACAGATACAGACAAGTAATTTACCAAGAACTTAGTGTCTGCTTTTCCTATATCTGGTTTATTTGAATTATTTTGAGGGAGGGAAAAAAAATCTCAAAACACTAGGTGAATAGCCTGTGTAGTCATGTTCCCGTTTTGTGATTCAGACTCTTTGAAACATCTTCAACTTTGTGGATTTGTTTCAGATGAAATTTTTAATTGGCCAGATTTCTTAGTTAAGAATTATTTTTAGAAACTCAGACAGAAAATCACCTACCCTCAGTTTGAAAATTTCCAAAATAAGACATCACTACCATGAAAGTAGTTCATTACATTTTTGTTGTTGTTGTTTGTTGTTTTATTTTTTAGTTGTAGTTGGACACAATACTTTTATTTTATTTATTAATTTTTATGTGATGCTGAGGATCAAACCCAGGGCCTCGCACATGCTAGGTGAGAACTCTACCACAACCCCAGCCTGCATTACATTTTTTAATGTTCTTGATCATTAGATAATTCTTTCTAATGAGAACATTTTTTTTTTCCTTGTAATTTCTACCTGATGATTCTGGTTCTTCCCTCTGAAGCCATGAAAATAATAAAACTCAGCATCCCCATGCTAGCAACCCTTGAAGAGTTTGAAGACTCTTTTGGCCCCTCTACAGGTTCTTGTTGCCAGATGCAACAGCATTCTCCCAGATTTTGCTCTGCTTGCATTGAGGCTTTCACCATCTTGATCAGACTTCATGGATCTATTCCAGTTTACGGATATACTATTTACATTAAGAAAAAGAAAGGTTTTTCTTTTAATTACAAAGCTAATGTGCTCTTTACACATAATTTGGAAACCGAAAAAAAATCCAGGGAAAACAAATTCTCCATTTATCCAACAGAAAAAATATGAATTAAAGAACAAGGAAGAAAACTTGTATACATCTTTTATCCAGAAACAGTAATCACTGAAATTTATAACTCAATGTTTCTTCTTAATTTTTTTTAAATGTAAAGATCATATTCAACAAAATTTTTTGTAAACTGATACTATTAATGAAAAGGAATATTTTTATTTGGAGAGGAAAGTGCTCAGTTCACTTCTATTCTGCATCAGTCCTTGCTGCTCCTATTCTACTGCTGTAATATGATTCATAAGAGTAGCTTTCAGCTCAAAATTCCAGCTTTTTTCCACTCCAAGGATCATCAGATTAGAGAGAGCTTCCCTTGAGTCAGAGGAAACCTGTAGCAGATCATGTTTGACCTGGGGATAGGCAGTTATCCCTGACAAAAATAGCAATGTATATTTGGCCAAAAAGAGATGGGTAAAAATTTAGGCTAATTCACTGTGCCTTCAAAAAGCATTCATTAGGCAGGTACAGTGGTGCATGCCTATAATTCCAGTGACTTGGGATGCTGAGATAGTAGTATCACAATTTGAAGGCCAGCCTCAGTGACTTAGTGAGGCCCTGAGCAACCTGGTGAGACCCTGTCTCAAATTTTTAAAAAATAGAAAGGGGTTGGGGATATGGCTCAGTGGTTAAGTACCCTTGGGTTCAATCCCCAGTACCAAAAACAAAAGCAAAAGAACTCATCAGTAGCTTTTCACTGAAATATTGATTCCTTTACCTAAGTGGTCTGTGGTTGGGCGATGTTTGACTCCAAAATCCCTTAACTAGTGTAAGATTCAAAAGGAACACATTTGAGAAAATACTGCCTTTCATTAACTGTAAAATTAAATACACATCTGGTCAGCTAGTTAAAAACTGCCATAAAAGATTATTTGAAACAATACTTAGATATCAAGGATATGCTTGGCTCCCAATAACTGAAACTTACTTTCCCTTTTCATGTGAATTCTTTCCTTTCACAGTCCCCTGATTGAGAAAGCCAGGATGATCATGTGTTCTCAGAACCTATCTTAACTCCCTCTTAAAAAGCAGTCAGATAGTTTATATAAGATTCACTTTTCCCTAAATGTTATTCTTCTGAACTTCTCTGGAAAGTATCGTCATGGTAAAAGTAGCACCTCCTCCCTTATCATTGCTGAGGCTTGCTTCTTCAGAACAAATTCTGGGTCTATGACTCCCAATGCAAACCATAGGGCTTTTGTAAGTGAAACAAAACAAAACAAATCAAAAAGCTCCTGGTTTTTAGGGACTGTCCATCCTAATGATAAGGGCGAACCTGAATCACAGCATACATCAGCTCTCAGCAGCTCAATTTCCTAAACACAGGTCAACTTTTTAACCCTTTTAAAATATGAATTATTTTGAAATAACTTGGCAATTTTAATAGTGATGTAAAATGGTTCTCAAATAAGCCACCTCATTTCCTTTTTTGTACTAGACAACACCATCTAGCTGCATTGTTACCTAGGACTGGTTTTCGACAAAGGTATATCAAAATCACCTGAGGTGGGGGCTGGGGTTGTGGCTCAATGGTAGAATGCTTGCCTAGCACATTCGAGACGCTGAGTTCAATCCTCAGCACCACATAAAAATAAATAAATAAAATAAAGGTATTATGTCCAACTACAACTAAAAAAAAATTTTTTAAAAAGTCATCTGAGGATCTTTCTGAAAATACTCATCACCAGGCTCCATCTGTATGTAGTCTGACTTACTAGGTCTTACAGCAAGGAAGTCTATATTTTTTTAAAAGTTTTTTAGTTCATTTTGTGAATAACTGGGCTAGCAAAAAACACTGGAAACAGAAATAAAACCAAGATTCTATTTGGATTATGTTTCTGGCTTACCCACGATCAAGAGCAAGCTAATAATCTTTATACCCAGTACTTCAATTACTTTACTTACTTGTATATTTTATAACAATTATTGTAGTCACTATTTCATATACCCTCACTTGATCTCTTTTAAGAATATTAAGTACATAAACAGGTAGTGTATTATTTTGCATTTCTTTTATTGAAAATTTAACAGCGGCAGTGACAGCTACTCAAAATCATCACAGATTCCTATTTCCTTTTTCCATTTACCTGACTTCTTACCTCTTGCAAGTTATCAAATTCATTAGGCAAACAAACATTACTTAAAGAAGTATCTTGATATTTGCTTAGTATTTCATTGATTGCCATTTTGCTTCTGAATTTACTTCATTGCTTTCTGATTCTTTAATATTTTTTTATTATTAGCATTCTGCTAACTAAAAAGGAATATGTTATATTTGTTGTTTTCCTTTAATCCTGCCTCCCAATAATTTGTAACTAAATTTAGCCCTTTTGATACGGGATATGGTACTTAAAATTCTATAAAATAACTTCAAATGAGACACTGGTTCATCCACAGAAAATGCATCTTTCCTGAAAATAAATATGATACTTAATTTCCGTTGGCTGTAGATTGCAGCATCTGTAATTTGATCATTATCCTTTTTGTTATGGAGATGTGTTTTGTTAAACTTTTAAATTATTTTCATCTGAAAACCTCATATTTTAACTTGGTTCCTCCTATATAGTACTTTAAGCATTATAGGGTGGGAGGCCATAAGACCCTAAAATAAAAGAGAAACATGACTAATTTTGCATTGTCCTTTATTTTTAAATGGCTATTTGCAATTTACCACCTTTAGGTGGATGCCAGCTCACATGATTGATTAACATTTTCTACTGGCTTATCCTCTGGGACAGAGTAATATATGGGGGTCAAATGTTGAGAAATGGACTCATTTATGATTTAAATGTAACTTTTACAGAGCTAAATATTAAAGCTTAGTTTGTCATTAATCACATGTATTTAAATATTTTTCACTTGTCATGTCCTCCAAACCATGACTGTTGATCATAGTCAGACCTCAAAGGCCCTATCAGCTCTCTGACAGCTGAATACCAGCATCCCTCTACAGCACCCAAAATCGATAGTCACCAAGACTCTCCTTGACTAACTAGTAGCAGGGGGTTGATAAACTTTTTCTTTAAATAATCAGATATTTTAGAATTTACTATTTCTGGCACAACTACTCCATTCTACCATAACAATGCAAAAGCAGCTAAACACTGTAGACAATGCATAAAAGAATGGCTGTGGCTGCATTCGGATAAAATAATTATTTACAAAAAACAGGTAGTGGGTTGGATTTAACCTATAGGCCATAGTTGGCCAACCTTTGGTCTAATGACTTCATAAGACAGTATAATCCTGAGTGTTACTTCTTCATTCCATTCAGTACTTTTTATAGAGGGATTACATTAAGCCAAGCACTGTACTGGCACAAAGAAAAACATGGCACAGTTTTGACTCTGAGCTCCCCTTTCGTGTCTCTGACTGGCTCTCCATTGCTCTTATACTATAGTCCAATATTTCCCTTTTTTCCTCTCGTGCTTCACCTCTCACCATAGCTCTTCTCTACTGTGTCCTAATATCCTGAACTTTACATTAGCTCTATTAACATAGTCCAAAATTCAACCCTAGTTTCACAGCCCTTCAGATCTGAGTGATTCTGCTGAAAGCCTTGGGGAACTCCTCAAACTTTATTCAAATTCCTAGGATGAGAATGGGGTGGCACTTTAGAATCTTGTCCCATCTGAATTTGGGTTCCTGGTTTCACTTACACTGATCCTATTCAGCAACCTATTGACCCAGGGGCAAAACTTAATTCAGTTTTCTCAAAAATCATTCCTCAGTTTTCTCCGAAGATCTCATCCAAACAGAGCATTTGTGAGCCTGGTAAACTTCACTGAACTGTTGAGGAACAAGTAGATCTTTTATAATATTTGTACTATTACTTTACAGTACTCTCCATTTGAAAAAAAAAAATAAGATGATCTCTAGACAAGACAATGAGGAATTCTTTTCCACAAATGGTGCTGGAACATTGGATTTCGACATGCAAAAGAATAAATTGATTCCTTATCTCATACCATATATAAAGATTAACTTGTCATCAATCAAAACTCTAAGAAGAAAACAGGGATAAATCATCTTGGATTTGACAATATATTCTTAGCTGTTACGCCCAAATCAAGCAAAAGGAAACAAATTGAACTGCATGATAATTAAAAACTTTTGTGTTTCCATGATACTATCAAGTAAGCAAAAAGAAATGTATATCACAGAACAGGAGAAAATATTTGCATGTCATATCTAACAGAGACCTGTATCTATGATATATAAAGAACTCTTACAACTCAAAAATAAAGCAAATAACTTGATTTAGAAATACAAAGGATCCAATAAACTTTTCTCCAAAGAAGATATACAAATGGCCAATAGTAACATGAAAAAATTTCAAATATCATTAGTCATTTGGAAAATGCAAATCAAAACCAAAATAATACTTCATACCTATTATTAAATGGGCTATAATAAAAATTATCTTTTTAAACACAATAACAACTGTTGGCAAGAATGTGGGGAAATTGACTCTCATATAATACTGGTGGAAATTTAAAAATGGAGAAACTGCAATAGAAAACAGTTTGACAGTTCCTTAACAAATTTAACTCAGAATTTCAATATAACTCAGACATTTAGCTTCTTCATATACTCCATGAAAGTTAAAAACAAGTATTCAAACAAAAACTTGGACATGCGTATTCACAGTGGCATTGTTCCCAACAGTCAATTATCCGACAACTGATGAACAGCTAAACAAAATGTGGTATATCCATATATTGGAATGTTATGTGGCTATTAAAAAGAACAAAGTACAGACACATGCTACAACATGGATGAACCTTGAAACCATTATATTAAGCACATCAGAGGCCAGGTGCAGTGGCACACACCTGTAATCCCAGCAATTTGGGAGGCTGAGGCAGGAGGATTGCAAATTCAAAGCCAGCCTCAGCAACTTAGTGAGGCCCTCAGAAGAAGAAAGAGGGCTGTAGATGTGGCTCAGTGGTTAAGTACCCCTGAGTTCAATTCAAAGAAAAAAAGCCCATCAGAAAAGACTACATATTATATAATTCAATATATATAATTCAATTTATATGAAATGTCCAAAATAGGCAAACCTATAGAGCAAGAAACTAGATTAGTAGTTGCTTAGGGCTGGAAGGATAAAAGAGGTATAGTGGATGAAGACTTAAGAGTACAGATTTTTTTTTTTAGATGATGAGAATATTCTAAAATTGTACATATCTATCTGTAAATAAACCAAAAATCATTGAATTATATATCCAAAGTTGATTAATTCTATAGCATGTGAGTTATTTCTCAATATTATTTTAGATAAATATACTACCACTGTTTGGTGGCAGGGAGATAATCTGTAGGAATCAGGAATTTAACCTCAGTTCTTGAGTAGTCCCATGATGCCTAAATACCCAGAAAGTATCATAATATACCCAGTACTGAGAATTCTCTGTTCTATCTAAAAATACTTATGAAGAAATGGAAATTTTAATTGTTGCTGAACAATTTCAAGTCTCTTTTATTCTAACAGGTATCAGGAATTAAGGGAGTCACTCCACCAATGTAAGCTTCCATGGGGTGCTGAAAGGGAATATGGTGGGATTATACCGATTTCACTGCCTGATGAACACAGGCCAAAATATGAACCTCCTTGTGTCATGGGCAAAGGACATCAGCATTATGGATTTGGTGGAGAAACCTGGCCAAGGTAACTAAACTTGCTGCTATTCACATAAAGATTGTTATTATCCATTTTCTCTATTTCTATTGAATCTTTTGTAAACTTAAATATGCCTCCAAACTAATTTCTTTTACTATGAATAAAAAGACACAGATAGTAAAATTAATTATATGATTTCTAATCATGAAATCATAAAAAGCCTGTTTATTAAATATTTTAATGTCCTTAGAGATGATAAAGTATTCTAAAAAATTCTGATTAACCTATTCCCTTACTTATCTTATTAAGTGAGAATATGAGAGAAAAATGGATATTAAACATGTTTTTTGTCTGAACAAAGAATTAGCCTAATTTGTGCAAATGTTCTTGGTTTTTGGAACTTTTGATTTGTAATTTTTTCACCAATCTTTGTAGTCATTAAAATTCTCTGTCAAATGTTTTCAAAAGTATTTATGTATTTAAATAATAACATAAATTTTTAAAGTCACTTTCAGCAACTCTATTCACAGAAGTTAAAACTGAAGACAAAGCAAAAAAATTTGAGCAGGAAATTAAATTTCAAATTGAATATTTATTAAAGATTACTTAATTTTAATTATGAAATTCAGAGAATAATCCATCAAACCATGGCACAAAGACTACTTTCTTCTTTTTTATCTAACAATACTGATTACCTGGTTTACTAACAGTCTAGCTAGTTTTTTTGTTCTATAACAAGCAAAAGAAGTAAAACAGATAAGACAAGCCATAGCTAGAGAGAGAAACATTAAAAATAGGGACATATGTGGCTGATAATCTTATCAAGACCTCAGTAAATCAGTAAAAAGCTGACAGACAAAAAGGCCCAACAGAGAGAGAGAGAGAGAGATTGATCCTTGTCCTCACCAGGGACAAAAACCCAGACATGCCCTCAGTGATGCATCTCCTCCAGCCACACTTTACTTGCCTGTAATTACTACCCAGTTAATCTCTCTCAGGTGATTAACGTGTTGATTAGATTAAGACTCTCATAACCCAATAATTTCACCTCTAAATTTTCTTGCATTGTCTCACACATGACCTTTTGGGGCACCTAATATCTACACCATAAAACTCATCATTTATTCATTTATCTATTCAGTAATTTAAGTATAGAAAGTATTGTTTTACAGACCTGGGGGTTATAACTCTTTATGGAGTTTAAGCTATTGTCCTCCAAAATTTGAATATTAAACAATATGCAGTAGTATAAAGAATTAGAAATATTTGCATAGAATTTCAGTGTGTAAAAAGAAGGCCAAAGATTAAGTGAAAGGTTTGTGTTGGTCTTGCTGAATGCAGCCCCAAGACACTAAGAAAAGAAATACTTGTTTCACTTAGAATGCCTATCACCCCTGACTCACAAATGTAGGTTAATGTCTTTCATTCTTTTCATGCCTCTTTATGTCAAATATTATCATTTTAGCATATTCCTCTCTTAAAAATATATTTAGGACAAATTTCTGTCTTCATATATAGGGCTAATTGCTTGGCAAACAACTACAGAATAGGATTTACCTTGTTTCCTAACAAGGAATAACTGCTATTACCATATTTTTCTTTCTCCCTTAAAAAAAGCCTTTTATACAAAAATAACAATGTTTTACAGCTCTCTTTATGGGTGAAGCCTCAATTTTTAAACCTTAAAAAAAAAAAAAAAAGGTTTTCTCTAGCAACCACACCCTACCACCTCCTTTGGTAGAAGGTTTTGTGAGAAACAGGATCACTCCTTTGCCTTACCAACTCTTTGTCCTGTGCCTTTGGAAATGAAAAGTACCTACTCCTTTGGAAAAGGTCCAGGAGGTGAGACATCCTAAAGTATGTCATCTGGGGTTAAGAAATTTTTTTTAAAAAAGCATTACTTACTAAATAAAATGTAATTACCTGTGTTTCTATACACATGTTCCAATACAATGTCCATATAATGCCACATGGGGCATTGCTGCCCCTTCTGAGTCTTCCTGACATAAAAGTATCAAAGTAAAACTCCTTTAAAGGAACTTTAGTAATATTTACTTACCTATAATATGCAAGTTTCAGAAATTCCAAGTAAGATCAGTCATCACCCAATTCAGCATCAATTCACTGAAGGAACAAAATCACAAAGTAATGAAAATGTAAAACTTAGTGTTCACTTTCATAAACATTGATTTAAGTTTGGTAAAGTAGTAAAATTGTTCATTTTAGAAAAGGAAATTCTTCCTTTAAGCTACTGGTTGAAAGCTCTTAAAATAGATCTGCAGTGCTCTGTGAACTAAAGGATACTCTGAATTTCCTGACAACTTTGATTTTTCTAGTTTAATAATAATACCGAAAGATATTATGAATGATTTCATAAAGCAAAATTTCTCCTTAATAAAATTTGTACTTGTTTACTCTTTTATCAGCAGCCAGTCACCAATGAAAGTCAAACAACCTCTGCCATTCAATTTAATAAGTGGCATATATTGCAAAGTGTTTAGCACCTTTGGCTCTTGACCTGGAAATACTAGTTGCATCCTAAATTCATTGTGACAACCAAAATAAACCACCCCATATATTCCCATACTCTCCTGGAAATGTTGGAGCCCAAAGGGAAACAGTATGATTGTTTGAGACTCATTATACCTAACCCAACTCCTATATTCCAAGTGCATATTGAGACAAGGTGAGCCTAAAAACCCCTGCAATTCTCTAGTTTGAAGAGATTAAAAGAGTAGATTATCCTGTTAGTAAGGGAAAAAAATCTTGAGAGAGACAAAGAGGCTCATGGTGAATGGGAAAATCATTATTCTACATTATTATTCTATTGCAAATCAAAAATTTCTGCAATATCTGAATTGATTCAGTGCTCACCAGCATTCCTTTCTTTCTTTCATCTTGAAAGGATAGTCATAGGTACTGGCACTGAGGTACATGAAAGGTGCAGTACCTTCCCTACATTTTGCAGTTTCCCACATTTGGAACATCCCCTTGCCCAAGTAAGATCCAGAAATCCACTTCCCAGCCTCCCTAGCCTCCAGGGTGCAGATGTATACACAAAAATTCTACTGATCACCCACATCTGCAGTGGATACTGATTTGCAGGTGACCAGTACCGACTCACTATAAAAATACAGAGTGAGCATTCAAAAGATATGGGGCAACCACAATGACAGGTGAGTACTACAATACGTCTGAAAATATTACAGGTGAGGCCAGCCTCTTCCCTCCCTCCTAGAGCGAACCACAGTTACCAATTTGGTGTGTCTCCTTCCATACCTTCTGTTACCTGTTTACATAGTTATGCATGTGCCCACTGAAATTTTATGGTGTTATTTTGTTTATATGTGAAATCATTTGATATGTAGTGTTAAGCAAGTTGATGTTTTTTTTCTTTACAATCTAGAGATAGTCCTTTGTCAATAAACACAGATTTACTTTATTATTTTTAATTTTCTCATAATGTTCCACAATGTTTCACAGGTTATTTGACCACTCACATAGTTCTTTGATCCTTGCACAAATGTTTCCGTAGGGCATATCTTCAGTGAAAGTTCTGGGTCATAATATAAAATATTCAAAATATGAATTTTTTAATTTAGTAGATGTTCTAGATATCAATCCCTTCTATGTTATTTTTATTTCTTCCAATTTTTGTTTTATTTAAGCTCTTTGTAGTGTCCATTGTCTTATCAATGTGCTTTTGGCTTTTGAAAGAAACATCTTATTTAAAAGGCCCTCTTTACTAGCTTAAAAAAAAAAAAACATATTCCTATACATTTTCTTTCTTTCTTTTTTAAAATTTTTAGTTGTAGTTGGACACAATGCCTTCATATTATTTGTTTATTTTTATGTGGTGCTGAGGATCGAACCCAGTGCCTCACACATGCTAGATAAGCATTCTGCCACTGAGTTACAGCCCCAGCCCTTTCTTTTTTAATATTTGTATAGATTTATCCTCAATTCTTTAGATTTTTAATCTATCTGAAATTATCTTTTTGAATAATGTAGAGATGTATTATTTTCCAAATGGGTAGTGAATTTTTCCTGTACTGTTTATTGAAAAATATATACTTTTCAAATAATTTAAAATGCCATCTTTTCATACATTGTTTCTATATATTCATGATCGTATTAATCTACTTATCTTTTATAGTCTCCCCATTATACTATGTTAATTTAAAAAGAGATTCAATTTAATATTTTCTTTCTTTTCAGAAAACTTCCTATTGAACAATACTATTATTTGACACGGAACCAAAAAAGTGACGTCTATGGAAATGATTCCTTGTAAGTTAGAGGTCCCCCTTCCCCTTACATGGGATCAAATAGTAATTTAAGTGGAAATTAGTTATATGAGAAACAAAAAAGCCCCCACATGGGAACTTTTAGAGAATTCTTCCTTTTTATTAAAATAGTGATCATTAACATTAGAAATTTTTAAAAAGCAGCAGCAGATAAACCAAAAGAAAGGGTTTGTAGCATTTAAACCAGTAAACAAAGAGTAAGAAATAATGATAGTAATGTTCAAAGAGATTCCTACACGTCATCTTGATTCATGTTCTTACCTTGACCTACTTATTCAATATAATAAAAATCTGTTATATTTCTATTTCATTAAAAAATTTACAGAAAATGCCACAATGGCCCTCAACAAATTTTGAACTGAAACTTCATAATAAGAGAGGATTGTTATGGTTATCTATAAGTAACTCTTTTAAAAATTACTAAGTATCTCTTTTGGATAAGAAATACTAATTTAGCCTGCGCTTAAAGGTATTATGCTCTAGTATATTAAATTATTTTTACTCTTTTAAAAAAATGGTTTTTCGTGTATATTACTAAGTCATGCATTTTTATTTTTTTGTAAAATAAGAATAAAATATTGACACTACTGAAATGACAATGAAAATATTTTTTTATCTTTATTAAGATTTGTTGGTTGTTTTTAAATTAAGGTGATACAGTATAAAATTTAGCCACTAGAGGGAGCCAAAAAGATAAAATTAGCATTTGCTTATCTCTTTGGGTTTAGTTAACTTTGCAAAGGAGATATGGAGTATGGCAATAGGATTGAATAATTGGTTGGATCAAGCAAGTGGTGTCTCTGAGCATTTCATTTTACTTTAATTTTATCTTTAAATTTTGAATTTTTAAAAAAAGATTTTTTAAAAAAAAAATTCTTATTTTTTTTCATTTTGAATCAATTTTAATCATATACTTATCAACATCACAGCAAAATTTGTCACATGAGAGCAATTTTAGATGCCAAGTTAATATTTAATATATAGTAGTAAATTTTAACTCTATATACCTTGGATTCATCGTTCATCCCCGTCTCCAACCCAACAATATAACTGGAAGAGAGGAAATCACTTTTCTTTTTAGTTCCACACCCACATACTTAAGAGTCCAAATAAAGACATAAACATTTATGATTCATGAGAATTGTGTATTTATAACATATGCTAGAGTAACAAAGTTCTATGACTTATATGTCACTTAGTAGTGAATATGTAGAAACATCTAAAAATTGCTCAAGTGTATTCAGTTTTATCAACTTTTACTATCAAATTTATGGCATTCTGTTCATTTTTCATGTCTGAAATCTTTCAGAGTCTTATTTGCATAGGATAAAACTAATAGCTGAAATCATATAAGTGGGTAACTATCCCTCTCTAGTAAACTTTTCCCCAAGGCTATAGTATTATTTCTTGGAAAGCAGTGTTTCAAATAATTAAATACACAACCTTGTAATGAACTAATTTGGAAAGGCAAACCTCCAGGAACTTTGTCAGTTTTGTTCTATCCTTTCATAGCAACATTTACTATCATGAGAGATCAGCAACTCTGGGCAAAGGGACAAGTATACCTATTATCTACTTATCTTCCCAACAAGGCCACATTTGTGTCACTTCAGGTCATGTAATTGCACCACATATGTGATGTCAGGCTTCTTTAGGGCTCTTTGGCTACCACATGATTATGAGAGTGAAGGTCAGTAGGAACCAGAGCTCTCTTATCATTAGAAGCTATCCATCAGCCCCTGTATCTTCCTGTGAATAAGAAATGCAAAAGGGGTAGGGGTAAGCAAGACTGAAGACTTACTTCATATATTGCCATATGAAGTAAGAATATGTGGAATGGAAAAATTTATCAGTAGATAACTGAGATATGAAAATATATCGCTCTATCCTGTCAATATGCACAGTTCCAGAAAGTTAATAAAAATATTATCGTGGTGACAATGTAGTTTGAAAATGGGGTATATCCTTAGTCTTCAGCAATTTTCAAATAATAATAATACAAGCCTTTAAAGGCCCTTAATTTAAATTATGAATTATTTTCTGTTTTTATTCTAGGTTGCCCAAACCATCTAATTCAACAATAAGGTAAGTATAAAACATATTTTCCTTCCTTGTTATAATCAGAAAAAAACTATTGGCATTTCATACCACTTAGACAGGTGAGAGAAGTGAGACTTTTGATGAAAACTATTTTTTAACAAATGGAAGGAGAGGCTGGTTCAAGTCCAAGGTAACATTATTTTGATTTCTTCCCAATTATATTCCCTACTCCCCCCTGCCCTTGCTGTTTGGTGGTACTGAGGATTGAAGTCATGTACTAGGCAAGGACTCTACACTGAGCTCCTTCTCCAACCCACTGCCAATCTCGTTTTTTAAATAAACTTTTTATTTTAGTATAGTTTTAGAAATATAGAATTATAAGGATGTTAGTATAGGGAGTTCTTCCCACATATCCTACCCCCGGTTTCCCCTACTATTGCCATATTAATGTGGCACATTTGTCACAATAATGAACCAGTATCAATGCATTAGTTTAACTGAAGTGTGTACTTTATTCGGATTTCCTCAGTTTTTACCTACTGTCCTTTTTCTGTTTCAGGATCCTATTTTAGGATTCCACATTACATTTCATCTTCATGTCTCCTTAGGTGTCTTTTTGTAGTAACACTTTCCTAGATTTTCCTTGACCTTGACTATTTTGAGAATTATAGGTCAGATATTTTGTAGAATGCTCCAAAATGGACTTTTAACTCATGTTTTTCTATGATTAGACTGGAGCAATGTGTTTTGGGGAGGAGGACCATGGAGGTAAAGCACCATTTTCATCACTTTCTATGAAGGGTGCATACTGTATACCTGATATATCTCCGCTGATGTTGACCTTGATCACCTGGCTGAGGGAGTGTTTTTTGAGGCTTCCTTACTGTACAGTTAGTCTTTTTTTCCCCTCCTTTCCACACTGTTCCCTTAAAAAGAAACTCACTGTGCACAGAAGACATCTGGAATCAGGCTCTACCTTCCAAGAACAAAGTACCTACTTAAATTTTTGGTGTTCTTCTGCATGGTTATTCTTTTCCATTTATTTACTGAACCACTTATTTTCAGTATGGACTTGGGGATATTTTATTTTTTGGTACTTAGGCAGTAATCCAGTACCCCCTTATTTTATTATTCAAATTGGGCATAAGAAGCTCTTCTAATTCTCTTCTGTATTCTTTTGACATTTCCCTCATCCTTGTGGAGGTTTGGAGGATGGTTTTTCTTTCTTTTTAGCATTTCCTTACTTTCTGGCAATATAAGATACTTCTGGATCATCTTGTATACTTCCTGCTCCACTCCTGGATGAGCCAAAACTCCAAGGAACCCTTGTTCTTTTTATTGGCAACTGGTACAAGAAACCATTTGCAGCCTTTCTTTTTTTTTCCACATTTTTTATTCATTCATCATATTTGTACATAATGATGGGATTTGTTGTTACATATTCATACATGCATACAATATAATTTAACCAACATCAGTCCCCAACACTTTACCCATCCTTCCTCACCTCTACCCTGCCCCATCCCTTTCCTCTACTGATCTCCCTTTGATTTTCATGAGATTTCCCCCCACCTTTCTTTTCATTTTTTTCTCTCTAGCTTCCACATATGAGAGAAAACATACAACCCTTGACTTCTGGGCTTGATTTATTTTGCTTAACATAATCATCTCTAGTTCTATTTATTTTCCTGCAAATGACATAATATCATTTTTCTATATGGCTGAATAAAACTCCATTGTGTGCAGGTACCACATTTTCTTTATCCATTCATCAACTAGGTTCCATAGTTTGAGTATTGTGAATTATGCTGGAATAAATATGAGTATGCATTATCACACAGTAGGATAACTTTAATTCTTTAGGGTAAATAGTGAGGACTGGTATAGCTGGGTCATATGGTGGTTCCATGCCCAGTCTTTTGAGGAACCTCCATATTGATTTCCATAGTGGTTGTACTAATTTACAATTCCACCAACAGTGTAAAAGTGTTTCTTTTCCTCTCCAGCATTTATTATTATTTGTATTCTTCATGATTGCCATATTGACTAGTGTGAGATGAAATCTCAGAAGTTTTGATTTGTATTTCCCTAATTTCTAATGATGCTGAACATTTTTTCATATGTTTATTGGCCATTTGTCTTTCTTCTTTTGAGATGTGTCTGTTCAATTCATTTGCCCATTTATTAATTGGGTTATTTCATTTTTTGTGTAAAGTTTTTTGAGTACTTTATCTAGTACTATATATAGTCTATATAGACTAAGTATATATATAGTACTACATATATATGGTCTATATATAAAGTACTCAAAAAAAACTTTACACAATACTAATCCTCTGTCAGAAGAGTAGCTAGCAAAGATTTTTCTCCCATTCTGTATATCCTCTGTTCATATTCCTAATTGTCTCCTTTGCTGTACCAGGAGCTTTTAAAATCAGTGCCATTCAGTTTATTAACTCTTGGCATTATTTCCTGAGCTTTAGAGGTCCTGTTGAGGAAGTTGTTGCCTGTGCCTATATGCTAAGTTTTCTTCTAAGAGTTACATATTTCCTGGTCTAATTCCTAGGTCTTTGATCCATTTTGAGTTGATTTTTGTACAGAGTGAGAGATAAGGTTCTAGTTTTATTCTTCTGCATAGGGATAACCAGTTGTCTCAGCACCATTTGTTAAAAAGGCTGTCTTTTCTCCAGTATGTTTTGGGCACCTTTGTCAAGCAAGAATCAAATAACTACAGATATGCGTCAGTTTGTCTCTGTGTCTTCTATTCTGTACCTTTGGTCTATATGTCTATTTTTATGATACCATACATTTTCATTACAATAGCTCTTAGTATAATTTGAGGTCTGGTATTGTGATGCCTCCTGCTTCATTTTTCTTGCTAAGAACTGCTTTGGCTATTCTAGGTCTGTTATTTTTCCAAATGAATTTCATAACTGCTTTTCTAGTTCTGTGAAGAATGTCATTGGTATTTTGATGGGAATTCCATTGAATCTGTACATTGCCTTTGACAGTAGTATGGCCATCTTAATAATATTAATTCTGCCTATCTATGAATATGGGAGTTCTCTCCATTTTCTGAGGTCTTCTTTAGTTTCTTTCTTCGATGTTCTGTAGTTTTCATTGTAGAGGTCTTTCACCTCCTTGGTTAGATTTGTTCCTAGATACTTTATTTTTTAAGCTATTGTGAATGGAATTATTTTCCTGATTTCTTTCTCAGCAAATTCATTATTCATTGTTAATATATAGGAAAGCTACTGATTTTTGTAATCTGCTCCTTTGCCAAATTTGTTTAATTATCTTTAGGAGGCTTTTGATGGAGTTTTATTGATCTTCTAGGTATAGAATCCAGAAATGGTGATAATGTGACTTCTTCCTTTCCCATTTTTATCCCTTTTATTTCCTTTCCTTGCCTAATTGTTCTGGCTAGGATTTCTAGAACTATATTAAATAGGAGTGGTGAGAGCGGACAATCTTGTCTTATTCCAGATTTTAAATGAAATGCTTTCAGTTTTTCCCCATTTACTAAGATGTTGGCTTTGGGTTTTTCATAAATAGTTTTATACAATGTTGAGGTAGGTTTCTTCTATGCTTTTATCATGAATGAGTGCTGAGTTTTGTCGAAGGCCTTCTCTGCAACTATTGAGATGACCAAGTGATTTCTGTCTTAAATCTATTTATGTGTGAATTACATTTATTGATTTGCATGTGTTAAGCCATCCTTTCATCTCTGTAATAAAACCAAATTGGCTGTGTGATGTATAGTCGTCTTAGTAGGTTGTTGAACATGATTGCTAAAGTATTTTTGCTTCTATGTTCATCAGGGATATTGGTCTGTAGTTTACTTTCCTTGATGTGTCCTTATCTGGTTTTGGTATGAGTATGATACAAAAGCCCTTACCAATCTTAACTGAAAATATTAAGCTGATATTGTAAAATTGTGTTTGAGCAAAGAACTACTGAAAAAGCTATTAAAATCAAGGTCTAGCTGGGCACAGTGACACATGCCTGTAATCCCAGCAGCTTGGGAAGCTGAGGCATGAAGATCGTGAGTTCAAAACCAGCTTCAGCAACTTAGCAAGGCCCTTAGCAACTCATAAGACCTTGCCTCTAAATAAAACTAAATATAAAAAAGAACTAGGAATTTAGCTCAGTGGTGAAGCATCCCTGGGTTAAATCCCCAGTACTAAGAAAAAAAAAAAAAGAAAGAAAGAAAGAAAAAAAAAAAAGAATAGAAATCAAGATTTAGGTTTTGAGGGGCTTTGTTTTGTTTTTGTTTTTTAAACAACTATGTGAAGAAACCTTGTTTTGGACTTTACTAGTTTTGTTCATAAGAAGTATGAAAAGAAAAGTCCTTTTAGCTGGGCTATAATTATTGGATTCAAGATTCTATTTGTAGCTTGATAAGCTTCAAAGTGGGAGGTTAGAAGTCCAAGATCAAGGTGTTGGGGCAGGATTGGTTCCTTCTTGGAGCTCTGAAAAAGAACCTGCTCCCTGCTTGGCACCTGGCTTCTGATGGTTTGCTGGAGTCCTTGGTGTTCCTTGGCTTACAGATGTGTCACCCTAATCTCTCCCTTCATCTTCACATAGCATTCTTGTGTGCTCATCTGAGTCCAAGTTTCCCTTTTCATAAGGACACTAGGCTCACTGGATTAAGAACCCATTCTTCAGTATGATCCCTCTCTTAACTCATTATGTGAACAACAACCCTATTTCCAAATTAGAACCTACTATAATGCCTTTGGGGTTAGCACTTCAACATATGGATTTCGAGGAGAGATGCAATTCAACCCATAACATTGGTCTTTCTACAAAATTTTTCTACAAAATAACATTTTTCTATTCTGTAACCTTCCTGATCTCAATTTTCTTCTGGTTTAGACAGTGGGTTTTGTTGTTGTTGTTTTTATTTTCCCTTAACCTCTGTCGGTACTCCAAATAATAGGAAAATTATCACTGTGGCCTTTTTCTTTTTTTCCTTCAGTGATCTATTTTTGGCTTTTTTATTTCAAAAGAGTTTGTGTACATAAACGGGCAATATATTTTGTTGATCCATTACTTAAAAAACAGATCCCTGGGTTGAAAGTTCAATCCAAGATGAGTGTATTACTGAACTAAATATCCAAAATTATTTCATAAAATAAAGTACATGGATCTTTTAAAACAGGAAACAGAAATTAAAAGCAACTAGAAATTCTTCCTACATCCTCTGAAAACTAAAAATATCCATATATTGCTTATATTATTACCCAGTTATGGAGATTATTCATGATAAAGAATTAAGTATGGTTTATTTTTAAAAATGAAATTTAGTTTTGTCTAGCAAAATTAAGAAAATTTCATAGGTCTTGGAAGATAGTCTACAGACTGCCAACTCCATGATTATAGGAACTTTATCTGGGTTACTGTCATCCTCAAGGATTAGAACACTATAAGCCATAACAAAGAGTCCCAATAAATATTTGATGATTAATTTTTTCATCGCACTTCTTTTTCTTCTGTTTTTTTTTATTTACTCAATAAATCTTAGCGAAATCTGCTTACCATATCCAATTGATCACCCTTACCATACACACATCTCTCGTGGAGCCATGTTCCCGACCTTTACGTCACCTAAGGAGCTCTACAATGGTATTAAAGCCTGCACTCACCAGCCATTTGCTCCCACGGTGCCAACCAAGACCTATGATTCAACAATTTTGAAGACAAGAGGTAAAATGTGACTTAAAATTAAAACTATTGATTCTTATTATTATTGGAATTTATTCAATAATAAAATTAAAGAAAGCAAGACGCATGAAGGACTCAAAACACAGACATGTGACCCCTCAGTATATTAGAAAAGTTTTACCCGACTGTGGATGCACCACACAATCATCAGGGACCCACTGCAGACCATTAAACCAGACTCTACAGGTGCTTTTGATTCTCTTACTTCACACATTCCTCCCATTGTAGAATCAGAAACCAGAAATATAGAATTGGTTGTCTTCATTCTATATATGTTTTGTTTTCATTTCCTTCCTGTTCTTGTGGTTTAGCTTTAAAAAATTCCATCCTAGCCAGGCACAGTGGTGCACACTTGTAATCAAGCAGCTCCAGAGGCTGAGGCAGGAGGATTGAGAATTCAAAACCAGCCTCAGTAAAAGCGAAACACTAAGCAACTCAGTGAGACCCTGTCTCTAAATGCAGTACAATATAGGGCTGAGGATGTAGCTCAGTGGTTGAGTGCCCCTGAGTTCAATCCCCAGTAGCAAAGAAAAAAAAAAAATTCTGTCCTAGCTTAGATGATGAGCATAAGGGGCAAGACAGAAGCAGTGATTAAATTGAAAGCTTAACATTTGAACTAAGACTCAGACACTAATTTATTCACATTCTCTTGACACCCTGGAGCATCTTTGTGGATGTATTTTATTAGAGAGGACAGTAATCCTCTGCACCCATCCTAGAGTCTCACCCACCCTAGATTCCTCAGTCTTTGCTGAGGAGATATACACATGCATGAAAGCAGATGACACCTCTGAATGTCTGAAAGATGCTAAAGAGAGGATAATTGAAGGTAACAGAAAAGGCATGTAGTAGGAAAAAATAAATACTTGTTGAGTTAATAATTTATGCTGTGGAGTAGATAAAACTCAAGAATTGTCCTATAACATTAATTGTCTTCTTTACATGAATATATTTGTACCAAAGTGCAAGGATCATCAATAACAACCTCAGCACCTTGTTAGCAGACAGGTATGTTTTGGGTTTTGAAAAAGTGTGTAGCAGAAGACTTAAGAGCAGACTTTTCTTTTCCCTCCATACTAAGGGTTGAACCCAGAACCTTACACATGCTAGGCAAGTACTCTACCACTGAACTACACTCCCAGTCCAGAGGCAAGGACTCTGGAGTCAGAGTATAGGCATAAAATTCTGCCCTTACCATTTACTGTGGACTATAGTGGTGTTTCTTAACTTCCGTCTTCACTTCTCAATCTCTAAAATGGGAGTATTAGTGCCAACTTCATAGATAACAAAGATAAGTGTTAACAGTTTGTTTGCTTTCATATAGTGACTCCAGTGTGTTCACCATGATGAAATTTTACATTACCTCTCAGACCAGTCAGTATTGATAAGAGGCAGTGCAAACTGATTCTTCTAGAACAATTTGTCTGGTGCTGAGGCTATGCTTAGTTATATTGGGAGAGTGAGATGAGTGAGTGCTATGCAAAGAAACCCAAGATATATATCTAAACAACTGAAAGTTTATAATTGTGTTAGGGAAACTATCAAAATTAATTCATTATTTTCAGTCCTGAATTAGATAATTTCTGAAATTATATTTAGTACATAGTTAGCAAGAAGTCACAGAAATATGTGTTGAACTCATAAAAACACCTTTTAGGGACTAAAGAAACAAGTTGCCTTCTTCATTTTCTGCTCTTCCAAGCATCTACCTCTTTCTGACCAGTCACTCACTCTTAGGGACTTTAAGATGAATCTGTTAATAAGTATAAAAAGATCTTTCCATGAACTAGTACTCTGTTGGGTTTCTAATCTTCCACTTATTTTAACCTTTTATTAGAAATAAATAGTATGTAGGGTAAGAGTACATGCTCTAGAATCAGATTGCCTGAGTTTGAATTCCATCTACTAGTGCTATGAACTTGCATACATTTCTTATTCTCTCTGTGCCTCAGTTTCTTTATTCACTGACATGGGAATAATAGTATCTTTCTCATAATAATTTTATGAGAAATGCATGTGATGGTATATTAAAAACAGTACAGTGGCTGATGCTTTGGAAGTGTTCAATAAATGCCAGCCTTTGTTCTTGTTATATATTAGAATGGAGCTGGGAATGGTGGTGCATATCTATAACTCCAGCTATTCAGGAAGATGAGGCAAGAGGATCACAAGGTCATGGCCAGCCTGGGCAAATTAGACCCTGTCTCAAAATAATATGGGCTGGGGATGTAGCTCAGTGATAGACTGCTTGCCTAAGCATGTACAAGGCCCTGGGCTCAATCCCCAGTACCATAAGGAAAAAATAATAATAATGGGTATTCAGAATATTCTTTAGCTTGAAATTTAAAATGAGAACAGAGGCAGCCATGCTGTGTTTGGTAATGTTCATTAAACACAAAACAAGACCTAAGAAGCTGTATTCTTTAAAATGTTCTCTTTTACTACCTTTTTGGTAAGCAAGTACAATTCCATTAAAAAATAATAATAAAAACCTTTCTATATTTGGGTAAAGAAGAGCCAAAACAGATAGTAAAGAAATTTATCTGTTGAGCCTCCAGACACCAGAAAGAAGATCCAGGAAGATTTATTATGTACCTAAGGATTTTGCTTGTTAAGTATAAGTGCCCTCTATCACTGCTGAGAACACTAAGATTAGAGACTCATTCTCACTCTGGTCCACATGCTGCCCATATAAAGGCTCAAGAATTAAAGGATAGGCTGCATCTTGAAAGTTATAAGAAGGGGCTAAGAGTGTAGCCCTTAGTATATGCAAGGCCTTGAGTTCAATCCCCAGCACCAATATTTTTAAAAGTTATACTGTATAATATACACCAGAATTCATCTCTAATCTATATTGTTTCTATTTATTTCCTCCATAAACCCATTTGTTAAAAGGCTGTTCTTAATTGTTCAGGATAACAGTGCTTTTCTTGAAAATTTCAGGTAATCCTTACAGATATGAACTGCTTGATTTTCCCACGGATTCAAAGAAGAAATCATTGACGTGGCCAGGTCAGGATGTGTATTATGATGTAAGTTATCTTTCAAAATGTGTGTTTTAAGAGAAAGTACAATATATTTTTACCCAATAGTTTCTAAAACTCAAAAAGACAGATTGTTTTATTTTTCTATTTAGGTGAAACTTTTGAGATTTTTGACTATGGTTCACATTTTTCAATTTTATTAGCTGATTTCACATACTTTGGTTAGTTAATGGAACATTTCTACAGTTATAAAACAAAAGAGTTCCCCTCAGAAAGATGGTAGGGAAGAACTGTTTCACAGCCTTAATCCTGTTTTTAAATTCTTATAATTCATAATATATCAAGTTATTGCAAATATGCATAGAGTAAATGAGAGACTTTCAGAAAGATTTATAAGCTGTCGTTGTCCCCATCATTATTAGTGCAATTATATTAAGTCTAAAACAAACTAAAACAAAAGCTACCATTTATTGAGAAATTGCTATACATTAAGTAATTTAGATGTACTTTAATTCTTATAAAAATCTCATAAGATTAATATTATCAAGTCCATTTTATAGATAAGGAAACTGAGGCTCAGAGAGTTTGAGATGAGGTCATGATCACAGAAGTCAGGTTTGTAAGACTCTAATCTATGCTGTTAACTTCTGTTCCTTAACTGGCTTCACCCACATCCATTAGATAATTCCTCTGAGAAAGTAACCCATAGCAAGAATGCTTGTTCAAAGACTTGTAACTCATATTTGTGAGCTAATAGTCTTCTCTCTCCTCCTATTTCATCCTATGCCCCAAGGGAAGAGAAAAGACACAAATAACCTGATAAACAGGTCCTAACGTGTCACCTAGCTGCAAAAGAGAAAACTCTAGAAACTGTACTTTAGTATTTTTTCCATCCAAGCCAATAAAAAAATATATATAATGTATTAGTAGAGTGTGAATTTTAAAGAGGCTCAGCTCATGGCTCTACCTTATCAGCTCTGTGACCTGGGTAATATATTTAATCCTTTAGTACCTCAATTTCCTAACAGATAAAATAGGAATGATAATAAAACTGTTGTCCTGAGAATGAAATTCATATAAAAGTACCTAGCACCATATTAATACTAGCTCATAATAAATATTAACTGCTATCAGCATTATTATTCCAATGATTATAAAACTTGGTTGACCTAGCAACATTAAGAAACAGATAACTTTGGAAAGAAGAATGTTCTAAATAATAAGATGGCTTATAATAAATAAGATGGCTTAACCTTTTAAAATTTAAGTACTAGGGCTTAATTTTTATTTATTTAATGCTTTTATTAGTGCATTATGATTATATGTAATAGTAATAGTTACATTATGATTATATGTAACCCTACTATTACATATAATCATAATGCACTAATGAGTTACTATCCTCATTTCTGGGGTATTTGTCTTTCCAGAGAGTCCCCATAATCCAAACTCATTCTCAGCTGGACATAATGAATTTGGTGAGCATGCATGCACCTCCTTTGGAAACGTCTCATCTTATCAAATCATGAGATGTCCACAAGTGTACCTCTCCATTCCCCCCACCACTCTAGGCTCTACATCTCACCTGCTCAGCCCCAGCAACATCCATGGTATCCAGAATGAGAAAAAACATGGCACCCTCACTGTGTCCCCTTCAACCATGCTCCCCATCTTCTATCTTGCACCTTCATATTTCCACCATTCCATCTCAAGCAGTACTCTTCCCTAACTGCATGGTTTTCTGTTATTTTAATGGTGATATGTGGAGTTTTGGAGATGACACAAAGACATTGGAACCTTGTACATAGTTTTGCATCTAATACTTAATAAACATTTAATGAATAACTAAGTTAAAAGCTACATATATTTCACAGGCTATGCTAGAAATATAACCACAGTTTGTATGGTTATATTCCTCTAATTCATATTCAAATTCATATCCTCTAATTCCATATTCAAAACAATTAACTCCTTTTTATAGACTGGAAAGCCTAGAAACTCAAATGTCAGGAATTGGAATTCCTTCCTTGTATTTACCTCCATATCAGGAAAAAACTCTGCCCTCAGATTGGTGTACTTAACCAGTGAATACCTATTGTGTGAATGACTGCTACCAGCTCCTCTCTCATTACCCTCTCTTGAATAAAATCACCTTCACATTTTAAATATTGACCAGCTCCTCACCCTCATGTATTTCCTGGCTCTTAAACTATGACCAAAACACTATAGGCTGAAGTTCACATTTCCCGTTTTCTTTTTTGAGCCCTAGACTGCATTTCAATAGATCACTGCTATTATTTCAACCAATATAAGACATAAGATTAATCTAGCCCCTTAGAACAATTTTGGAAAATTTTCCTTCTTATTTGCAAGTAAGCTAGCACTGCAAATAACGAAAAAGATAAAGAGAACAAAGAAGGCATTCTTTAACCCTGAAAAAACAAAGTCACATTTTGGTTAAAGGTTTAATAGAGGTAGGCATTTCATAATTCTTGAGGCAACTTTCCCGTGAGTATTCTACTATGTAAAATGGGGATCACTTCAACCTTACAGAGTTGTAGCAGCAGCAACACGTTTAGGATCTAGAAAGTTAGAGAGCTCCACACCTCAGGGGGCCTGACTCTGGCCCTTCTCTAGCTGTGCATTTCCCTAGGAAACAGGGAGTCTATATGGGGCCAAGAGGATATATGTCCAGGGGAGCCTATGCTTCTCTGACCCACTCCAGAACATGTTCTTGAACCACAAAATTCCCTGACCAAATGGCTTTGAACCCAGTCCCAGGTCCTCCTGAGGACTCTTCCTCCCAAGGAGGAAGGACTAATCCTCCCAAGGGTTAACAGTGTTCCTGAGCTAGTATATTCATCAAGACCAAAGGGGTAACCAGAGATGGCTGTTGACTGGAAGTAGGAATGATTGGAGGATGGAGCCAGTAGAAAAGAGCAGTGAGGGATGCTGAGGCCAGAGGCAGCAGTTGGCTCTTCCTGAGTCGCCATTTAGTGGTCTAAATTAGAACCTGGATTTCCAGGTTGTTATAAAGGTATTCTGTCTGAGCAAAAGAATGAAACATATTTTATTATCGGCTTACTTGCTGACTTAAACTATTTAGACAAATGGAATATGGACTTCCAATTGTACTTCAGCTCCAGGTTCTGCAAATGTTAAAGGAAGGCTTGGCTGTAGGACAATGAGTGGCATAATGTTCAATAAATGCTGATTGCACACTGTCACCACCATCTATATCTCTGCTCCTACTGTTTCAATTCTAAATTGTCATTCAAAGTTCAGTTTTTGTGGTATGACAGAAGGGCTCCTCCTTCCCATCCCACTCCCAACCCTGCTTCTTGATTCAGCTGGAATCGATCTCTCCCTTCTCTGAACTTCAAAATCATTTTGTTTTAATTTCTTTTATAGCAAAGAGCTACTTACACTCATTTGTGTTCATACCTTATATCCTTTACTAGCCAATATACTCATGGATGGCTGGATTTATTTCTGACCTGTCCTTATTTCCTGCCACTATTGTGTACACATAGGTGCTCAATAAATATTAACAAAGTGTCATCAATCTAAGAAAAGATGAATTTCTAAGTAACCAGAAGGACTGCAATGAAACTCATTCAATCATGTTTACATGCATACCTCTTTTAAAAAATGCAAAAACTCATGTGTCTGAAGAATGAAAATTGTATTTGCATTTGAGTGACGTAACCTTCTCAAAAAGTCATAAAAGTTATCTTATGGTTTCATGATAGACAGGGAAGGAAAAATAGAACCACACAATTTTGGCTAGTCTCAGCCAAAAGAGTACCTTAGAACCTTTTGTATCTCTAACAGATTTCATTGGCTGTAGAATATCCAGGAGCATTTCTCTAATATAAGTTCTCAGAAGCTTTTAGAAAAGACCTTATCATTTTGTTACTTAAAAAAAAAACCTCTCAATTATGGTGAATATAAGGAAAAAGCCACCATACCTAGCTTGAGAATTAGTAATTAATGAATTTTTTAAAAGCATCTAGCTTCATCCTAGAATTTCCTTTGTCCCTTTCCTGCAGAAATAGTGAATCCATCCTTACTCTACTAGATGACAATAACAGCAATAATCTTTATGTTCATATTCTAGATTCCTAAATGTGCAGAGAAAAATAAGCCAACATTCTACCCAAAACCACCTAAAACTTTCGCTCCCAACACTTCTTTAAATACATGGGATGTTCTTAAGTCCATAAAAGAAGCCAACATACGAAGAAATCTTGAAAGGTCCCATTGGATCTCTTCATACAATCATGATTTTACAGGTATGAGTCACATTAATACAAGTAAAAAGTGAGAACAAAATTGGGATATTCAACAAATGCTATTACACATTTTCATCTTCTTATATTTCCTGTTTCTCAATATAAGCACTAATATTAATTAAGAGGGGTGATAAGTTTCTCTTAACGGGTAGCTGGGAGAGGTAGGACTGGTTTCCATTTGATTGGTTCTAATTATATTATTAAGGAGATGGGATATATCTATGTAGGGTAATTTAATTATCATTCTTCGTTTACTCTACCAAAATAATAAGATAGTGTTTCCACTAAGGTCTGGGACCCATGAACCCCCTTGAACTGGATGATTACCACGAAAAGGAGGTAGCAGAATTAACTGGACAGAAAGGATTTGACCCACAGCCTGTAAGTAATTGCAGTCAACTCTGTTATTTAAAGGGAGAATATCCAGTGTTGATATCCTTCCTGCTTTGCCCACTTTTATATCTGTCATGAGTACTGGTGCCCAACCTAGCAAGGAGAAAATTTAATTTTAGAAGTTAATTCTGAACTGTTTGGAACTGATTTGAACATCCTTTTGTACTCTTTGGAAAAACAAAGTTTCTTTTCTTCTTAGCAGTGCTATTTTTTAACAGATTTTCTGCTATGCTACTATTGGCTTAAAAAAGAATAAAGCCTAGCTAGTAATTCAATGAGATTCTTAATAAATTGGATCTTTGCATATCTGTATATCTTGTACATCATCATTGCTTTTAAAGAGATTAAAAACTTCTTCATGATATTCACAATAATTGAGAGTTGGCTGAATTACAATAAAAAACCAATGAATTCTCTGCCTATATCAATAGAGACTTCTTAGTTGATTATGTGAAATGGCCTGGAAGAAATGATCAAGCCCTTTCATAACAGAAGGTATAATCTGTTGACTTTATTACATAAATAAAGTGAAATTACTTATTAGTATGCATATATGTGGTTTTATTTTAGAACTTAATTTTTCCCCTCTGGCTACAAATTTTAAAAACAAAATGTTATCAAACATGTCAACTATGGAAGACACATAAAAGATGACTATTAGATTATTTCAGTATGAACTCTAGACTGAGATGCACATATTCAAGTTACATTAGCTTCAGCATTTACCACAGTGATGTAAAATCATAACAACAGAAATAGGTCTGTACACTGTTTTATCATTCACCAAATGGCTTTTAATTGTCTTGATTTTTCTCTTGTGATGTGGATTCTCTGTGGCTAGAAAATATACATATACTCTGACACTATCAGGTGTGTTCAACAACTGTCCATATTTCCACATGACCCTGTAGGGATTAGCCCCTCAACAAGCAACTTTATCATTTTTACAGAGAAACACTTGTACACAAAGGATGTTTGTGAAGTATATTGAGCACAAAATGTGCAGATAAATCATAACAAGATAAAATATACATAAAATCATTTGAAGTTTAAAACAGTTTCAGTGAAAATTGCTGGCTTATGACTGAAATGTAAACAATAGACTCTGGGAAAACTTGTTTTAGATACAGATATGAACTTTTTTGTATAGAATAAAATATGGGTAATAAAAACTGCTTGTGCATAAGGGATACTGTCAGTTTCATATAAGCCCTATCCTGCTTTTAATGACAAATTTAACAAAGCATGTAGAGCTGGAATTTTTCCTTTCTTCATAGTATATTTACTCAAGCTGGGCACAGTGGCACAAACCTGTAATCCCAACAGCTCGGGAGGCTGAGGCAGGAATACTGTGAGTTCAAAGCCAGCCTCAGCAAAAGGTGAGGCGCTAAGCAACTCAGTGAGACCCTATCTCCAAAGAAAAATACAAAATAGGGCTGGGAATGTGGCTCAGTGGTCAAGTGCTCCTGTGTTCAATCCCCCTGTCCCCCTAAAATACCACAGTATATTTACTCAAAGCAAAAGTTAAAAAAAAAAAAAAAGTTAGTGACCTAGTATGACAATTCCTCCAACTATAAGCATATTTGTTTCAAAAGCCCATTCTTTAAGTCCAAGCTACAGTTATTATTTTCTCAACATTCTCATTCTATTCTCTCTCCTATCAATTCCATCATCATACATAAAGTCTTTATTTTTTAAAATATTTTTTTAGTTGTACATGGACACACTATCTTTATTTTTATGTGGTATTGAGAATCGAACCCAGTGCCTCACTCATGTGAGGCAAGTGCTCTACCACTGAGCTACAACCCCAGCCCCACAGTCTTTATTTTTTTCATTATATTACTATAAAATTTTTTCAAAAATACAGAAAAGTTTAATAATTTTAGTTAATATCCATATACTTACTATGTAAATTCTATCATTAATACTTTAGTATACTTGTTCTATCACAATTTAATTTACCCACCTTTCCATACCTCTAGCCATCCAGCAATATACTTTATTATTTTTAACATGCTTTTACAGACATTAGTATACTTTACAGATATTAGTATACTTTACCCCTAAACATTTGACAGGCATATCATTAACCAGATTTCAGCAGTTTTTTGTTTGCAGTTTTTTTCTTTGAAAGTGAAATATATGTTAGTTGAAATTGCACCAATCTAGATTGCACTTTTACTGAGTTATGACAAATGCATATACCTTTGTAATCCAAACTCCTATCATAATATAGAAAACTATCTCATTCCAGAAAATTCCTTCATGTCCTTCCCAGTCAACTCTTCCTTCTTCCTGCCACCCAACACATCTCTATTAATGTCACTTAGAATATACTCCCTACTTTTGAAGTTACTAGTCATGACTGAGTTCATAATATTTATAACACATCTCAAAAAGAATCATAGACTTAACACATTTTAAAAAAATGACTGAGTTCATAATATTTACAACACATCTCAAAAAGAATCATAGACTTTTTAACACATTTCAAAAATAAGCACAGATAGACTGGGGTGTACAGTAACAAAGCATGGATAAGATGCTGGGTTCAAATCCCCAGCATCAATAAATAAATAAGCAAGCACAATCATAACACCTCAGACCAGTGCTTCTCAAAGCACAACAGAGATGCTTGTTAAAAATGCAGATTCATGGGCTGGGTGTTTAGCTCAATAGTAGAGCAAGTGCTTAACATGTCTAAGGCCCTAAGTTCAATCCCCAGCACTTCCTCCGCAAAAAATTCAGATTCCTAAGTCCCATTGTAGACCTTCTGAATTACAATTTTAAAAGGTCCAGGTTAGGAATTTCATTTTCTGCCATCTTTGAAGGTAATTCTTGCATGGGCTCTTTCTCGTCCAGCGAGGAGGTCCACGGAACAGGGTAGAGGAGAGTATAGCTGCAGAGTCGCTATTCAAGACCTCCAGAGACCAAGCAGGAAGCAGGTCTGATTTTATTGTGCAGTTACCATGTATATGTACTCAGGCAGTAGCTAAGCAGATTACAGGCTGCCACTAATGCAATTTCTGCTAACTGTTCTTGCAGCGACCAGTCAAGGAATGAGCCATAGAGCAAGCACAGGGAGTGCAATACGTGGCCTTGTGCCCAGGGCTGTGCTATGGGGTAAGCAGCCTGCCGCTCACATGCCTAGCACAAGGGGAGTGGCCTGTCACTCAGATGCCCTTAAAGTATGCCATGTATGCAGTACTCCAGGCACATGTCCCCACAGTTTTATTTAGAGACAGGGTCTCACTTAGTTACTTAGTGCCTCACTGTTGCTGAGGCTGGCTTTGAACTCGCTATCCTCCTGCCTTAGCCTAGGGAGCCACTAGGATTACAGGTGTGTGCAACTGCGGCTTCAATGCCATTTTTTCTTGAGGAAAAAGAAAAAAGAAGTTTTATTCCCTTGCAGATATCTTTAAATATATCTTAAAATTTTTTGCAATGTGCACTCCTACACCTGTCTCACTTTTACACAATAGAAATTGGAATGAGTGTTCACCTGCCACTTATTAATATTTATCAAGCAATTAATTTTCTTCTTTCTCTTCCATCACTACAGCAAGAAAAATTCCACTCTATTTTAAAACCCTTCAGACCCTTGGAAGGGCGAATCGCCCGACTTACTCAGAATCGACGTCCTCTGGAGGCTATTATCCAGCAAAGTCCACGTTCCTGTCCAGATTGTACCCCTAATGTTTTGTGTACTTTTCATACCTTTATACCCAGTTCTGTAGAAATGATGGCACTGAGTGATAATATACCAGCTGACGTGACCCATAAAAACCAGAATATTGAAGAGAAGATCAAGGAAGAACAAAGCTTACTATCTAACTACTCACTCAAACCTTCTTACTCAACAAAGGATCTGACTAGCATTTATGACATAAAACCATTTCCAAAAATCACAGATACTAAAAAGACAGAAGATTTGTACTGGAGACAGCTGTCATCAAAACCCCGACCTATATCTTACTGTAAATCAAGCGAATACATTCCCTATGAATGCTCTAAATCTACCCTATACAATCCATATAATATATGTAGAAACCGGGTTAGCTTTGCTAAACCTAGTCTTTTACAAACCAAACCAGACATGGAAATAATCAATTTAGAACGTAAATATTTAGGTAAGCCAGAAGAACAGCTGGGCTTGAACATGGAAAAAAACGAAGAAATAAGATCTATTCTGGGTTGGATTCCTAAAGCTGGAGTGGCCAAGCCTCAGACCAACCTTCTGGATCTTAAGAACTCTTTCTCAAAAACTGGTGCACAAAAACGTTTCTATAAATCAATTCTAGACGACCATAAAGACCTTAGGGATAAGGTGAATTCAGGGATGAAACACCAATTCTATGGCCATAATTCCTATGATTTCTATAATTGAGGTATTCCTTCTTCCCTTCAAAACCCAGCCTCTTGCAAGAAAAAAAAATATTACAGAAATTCTTTCATTTTGCTGGCATATGTTTCTAGAGTAAGCCATAATGACCTCATTAAGGAGGTTTATGTTTTCAGGAATTTAAGTTAGGACCTAGTCAGAGGAACCAAGAAAAGGTGAAAAAAAAAAAAGTTTGAGTAATTTGGCAATAAAACATTAATACCAGAAAAATGTATACTCCAGCCTCATCTTCAAATTATACTCTAAAGAAGTTTTCCAAAATTTCATGAAAAGCAATGTGTACAACAAAGTTTACATTATCGTTTTACAGAAAGTACAAATTTGAAAAAACTCAAATTCTCAAGAATTGAGACATGATTATACAATCTGATGTACCTTAATAAAATAAATGTGAATCCTGTCCTTTTATGTAAATATTTGCACAAAATACTTTTTCCAGTTCCACCAGAGGAACTGGTATCTACGGCAGTTGTAGCTTTATAAAATGTATTTCCTAAGTCTTAAAAGTTGAAATTACTCCTTGATCAATGGACTGCAGAATGGATGTTATGTAAGCCAGCATAAAAACATTACCCTTATTGTACATCTCCATCAGAGCTCTTAGGTAAGCAGGTACATTGTTAATAAGGAGTAATTTTTTGAAAGAAAAAAATTTTTGAACAATTAAGTCTCAATAGTGGGCTTAAAATATTCACTAAACCATCTTGTAAACACATGCTGTCATCCAGGCTTTGCTGTTCCTCTCAGAGAGCACAGTTGATTTAGTATAATTCTAAAGGACTCTAGGATTTTTGGAATAGCAAATGAGTATATGCTTCAACTTAAAATCACCAGCTGTATTTTCTCTCCTACCAAAAGAGTTGTCCTGTCTTGAAGCTTTGAAGCCAGACATTGATTTCTCCCAACTATTAAAGTCCTAGATAGCCTCACCTTCCAATGTAAGAATGTTTCATCTACTCTGGAAAGCAGTTGTTTATTGTAGACAGCTTAATCAAGTAGTTTACTAGAAGTTCTAAATGACTTGCTTCTACATCAGCACTTGCTACTTCACTTTGCAATTTTATTTTATGAAGATGGCTTATTTCCTTAAACCTCATGAACCAACTTCTGTCAGTTTCAAATTTTCTTCTGCACCTTTCTCATCTCTCTTATCCTTAACAAAATCTAAAGAGAATTAGGGCCTTCATCTGGATTAGGCTTTGGCTTAAGGGAATGTTATGGCTGGTTTGATCATCTATCCAGACCACTACAACTTTCTCCACATCCGCAATAAGATAAAAAACCATTTGGCTAAATCAAAGTAGAAGTAGATAGAATTCAGGAAATTAATCAGAAACTGGGGGCTGAATTTGAGGGACGAAGAAGTCAAAACGTGACGTCCCAGTGACAGAAATGCATGTCAGGAAAGGGAGCTAGGTTTGAAGTGTAACTCGAAGCAGTGATAATAAAACCTGCATTTCTAATATGACCAGAAGGGATGCAATCCTTTAGACTTTCCAGAACACTCTAAATCACCTGAAATCGTGTTTCTTTCTAAATGCTTGCCTGGACACCCGTCTGCACAGAGACGCGAAGGGAAGGAGGAGACTTTAGAAGAAAAAGAAGCGGCAGGCATGGGGCAGAGCGATCGCCTGCAACTGCAGCACCTTCCCCAGTCTTGGGAGTGAAGGCAAAAAAAGAAAATGGTCACAAGCTCCTGTCAAATAACTCCTGGTTCCTTGTTCATGGTATCCATCGAGGTGCTGCTGGCACCAGCGGTGGAAATACGACCCAGCCTGGGTAAAGGTCGCCAGCTAACCGGATGGTAGACCTTTAAGTGTGTCAAAGTTAGGGCGACTCCCTCTGGACGGAGATCGAACGATCCCCTCAAAGATATTACAACCTTGCTCTGGAGAATTGATACCTTAAGCTGTTTAATTTCCTCAAGCCAAAAGTCTCCGCTCCACCCTCCACGCCAGCACACGCAGGCGCGCAGAGGCCGGGAGTGACGTCAGCCCCTCCCGGCACCGCCTCGAAGTCAAACATCCAAGGCCTGTCGTAAGAGCCGGGCAGGAGAGGCCTGGAGAAAAAGGGCATCCACGCGACACATCCTACCCTGCTAGCTGGTAAGCGCGCGCACGTTGCTGCCTGACCCTGGACGCCATAGCCAATGAGGCTCCGTAACGTCACCGCGTATGAGCCGGCTCGGCCTCACGTCAGGCCGCGGGGAGATGGAGCGAGTGCGGTTGCACTGACACCGGTACATAGGCGCAGACCGGCGTGTCCTTGGGGTAGAGAGTGGGACGTCCGGCTTCTGATCGGGATCCTTCTTTGCTTCTTTGCGCTAGCCACGAAAGAACGGTGAGCACGAGGCGTAGAAACTGCAGCAGGTGGGAGAAAAAGCTGTGAGAGGCGCGCACAAGCGTGGGAGCACGCGGGCGGATGCGAAGCCGATGCCAGGGTCTCGGAGTGGAGCTAGCGCGGGGTCGGCTGGGCTGGGACTGGGCAACCAACACCGGATGTCTTGAGATGGAGCAGAACCGTAACTAGGTAGAAATCTGGACCCGGTGGAGAATTGGAGGCGGTTTGGATGCCGATTCGACAAAGATGCGGTCCCCGGGTTGCCATTGCCCAGGGCCTGTGGAAGTGATCGGCAACAATTCCTCCCGGAGGGCAGGAGCGTTGGCAACGCTTCAGGTTCTCCTTCAGAGAGCCAAAGCTGCCGCTCTTATGCCAAGGAGTCAATTTTTTTTTACCCCTGGGCCATGTGTCATTCCTCCTGTTAAGCGTTCGGACATCTCAAAAGGATGTTGCACCAGTCTCCTTGAAACTGATCTGAGTGAGTGACCTCGTGGTCACCCTGGTGGAGGTGGGAATATCCCTGTCCCAGCCTTTCCCTGTCCTCTCAAACCACAGCAGTGCAAGTGAAGTGAGTTAAGCTAGACGTGGTAAGGCAGAAAGAGCTGAGGACCCCGCCCCCCGCCAATACCTTTTAAAAATTAACGGGTTTTGCCTTATCTTCAAAGAGAAGTGCCTGTAAGTTGTAGCACAAATAAGTAATTGGGTCTTTGTAAAGTTGGGATTTTAGTGGTTTCAGTTTAATGCAGTTCAGTTCAGCTTCCGATTTGTGACTTTTTGACCTTGACCTCATCTTTTGAAACTGAATTTTGAGCTAGGTTCCCACGTCTCTTATTTGGGTTTAACCTTCTGTCTCATACATACAAATATATATTTTAAGGAGATTCTCCTATATAGTAGTTGTTTTGCTACTGAAGAGTTTTGCAAATGTACTAAGTAAAGCAAAATGGGTCCTGGTACTTAGTGTCATAGATTAGCAGTTGAGTGGAGTGATCATTGGTTTCCACCGTATTATTCCTTAGGGAAAACAATTTTCTGTATTACTGTTGGGTCTTTCATTTTTTTAGAATTAAAAATGGGTGATGTTGAGAAAGGCAAGAAGATTTTTGTTCAGAAGTGTGCCCAATGCCACACGGTGGAAAAGGGAGGCAAGCACAAGACTGGGCCAAATCTCCATGGACTGTTTGGGCGGAAGACAGGTCAGGCTGCTGGATTCTCTTATACAGATGCCAACAAGAACAAAGGTAAGAGAAGGACTGTTGTTAAATAACAGCACAAATTGCATGAATGTACTCTTATTTGGAGTATCAATTATTTAACCAATGCATCCCTTTTTGTTTAGGCATCACCTGGGGAGAGGATACACTGATGGAGTATTTGGAGAATCCCAAAAAGTACATCCCTGGAACAAAAATGATCTTCGCTGGCATTAAGAAGAAGGGAGAAAGGGCAGACCTAATAGCTTACCTCAAAAAAGCCACTAATGAGTAATAGCTACTGCCTTATTTATTACCAAACAGAAATGTCTCTTGGCTTTTTTATGTGCACCATAATTTAATTGATGTGATACACCAGAAATCCAGATCATGAATGACTGACAAAATTATTTTTGTTGGACAATCCTGATTTAAGTAAAACTTACTTGTAGTTAAATTAATATTTTGGTTATATTCCCACTTCAGTAAATTCTATCACTGTTTCCCCTTTTTAAAGTTGTGGTTGGACTTAATTAGTAATGTTCGGTATTTCACAAAAATGGTGAATGACATCTGAAAACTGGTTTTATATTTAGTTTTATAGAACTGATTATGTGAATATGTTTAAAATATGGGGGAAATCCCTTCGCTCTCTCAGAACCAAGCATGATTCACATTTGTTTCAATTTGTGTTCATTAGCCTATTAAAGGTTGAAGATAAGGAAGCAGTGTCTACTTTATATTTTTGTTGACCATGCCAATTTAATTAGAATTCCCTGTATCTAAAATGCTGTTCTTTCCTTATGGAAAGGCATTTTTAGTGTGGTTTATGTATGATATTAAATAAAGAATATTTAACACTTCTCAAATTTAAAGCTGATCTATAAGTTCAGATGCTTTTTAAGTCAGCATAATACAGTAACAAGTTAGACTTTACTTTTTAATTCTTTATTTTCTAAGACTTAAGTTATCATTCAGGATTGTTTTTAAACAACTATTCAGAAACAATACTATGGAACATCTAGGTGGTTGGTAGTGGTGCTTTTTGCCAACTTATTAGATGGAAAGATTAAGGTAAAAGAGATATACCCATCCATAAAATTTGTAAAATACGTTATCATAAGATTTAAGATAATTAAAAACAATCACAGATCATGATTTTTTTGATTGTGCTTGATTTAATGACTAATGCCAAAACTATAATGGTTAAAAAGTACATAACCCTGCATGTCAGTGCAGCAGTGATTGCTAGTTAAGTACTTTCTTAACTTGGTCCTCTAGGACAACCTGAACTAAAAACAACATATTGCTAATTCATTCCTAGAGTTTCCTTGACTAGAAAGTAAATTGCCAAACATGAATAGAGGAGTGCTTCTGGTCATGGTTTTGACAGTGAATGATAGTGAATAATTAACACATATTATTTTGTACACAATCTGCCATACATACTTAAGAGTAGTCCTTGGAAATTTTATTAAAGATGGTGAACTTAAAGCCATAAAAAAACACAAGGGAAATAAATCTATGCAGGTAGAGATTAGAATCATGATTTTGTGGAACACTGAGGAACCTGAGAAAGAGGGTCTCATCTGATTTCAAAGGCATTAGGAATGATTAAATAGGCCTCTAAAGCTTGACAAAGTACTTTGTAAGTTTGAATCTTTATTCATAGAAGAAATGCAAGTAAGTCGCTTTGAAAACATGGAGAAACAATTTTGGGAAGTCTTGAGAGACAGTATAGCATTTAGCTTACAAAGGACAGTTAATAGACCTTTCATCTTGGTCGGTTTTACAAATTCAGAAATTATTTAATCCAGAAGTAAAGCTAGTGATTTAGCCATTATCAAATTGACAAATGCTGGTTAATTCATATAAAGGTGTACCTTTCTTGAGAGCTTAAAGTATTCTTATTTCTGTTTTCAGCTAAGACCTACATTGACGCAGATGGGTACCTGCCATGTTCTAGGCCAGTTAAAGTCAACTAAAACACCCTAAAGATTAGAGTGTAAATGATAAAGTAATTAAAGCTAAAAGAAATATATTTCTCAGGAAAAAAAAAAAAAAGAAACTGGGGCAAAAACCTAGAACTCTTAATTGCATATCTAGTTCATTGTAGGTGGCTAGGTTAGTGGTATCAAAAGTGAAAGCCAGATATATTTAAGGAGTATTTCTTCCAAGTGCTACCCACACTCTGGCTTTTGTCTAGAACTAATAACAGCATGTGGTTATCAACCCCTTGAAATATGGGGGGGGGGGGGGGGTGACTGTAGAAGTGAATTTTTAATTTTATCCAAATAATTAATTTTCCACAGCCACAAATAGCTAGTGACCACTGTAATGAAAGTGCTTCTCCCTTAATCTAGGATTCTTGCAAATACATTATAATGCCACTCTGAACACTGATTCCAGTACCTTATTCTTTAAACTTACTATGCTCACCTCTATGAACTTACCATGGTTTACCTATTCTATTCATTGGCTGGCAATTCATTTTAGATAGGTGGCTCTCTGGTAGTAGCTGAGATAAGCTTTTGTGTCATCATTTTCCTGCACTTCCAATTTTGTTTTTATAGACATTGCATGTATTCACTTTAACCACTGAAGACTTTTTTTTTCTTTTTTTTTAGTTGTTCATGGACCTTTATATTATTTATTTATATGTGGTGCTGAGAATTGAACCCAGTGCCTCACCCATGTGAGGTAGACATTTTAATTTTTATTGTTGGTTCAAAACATTACATAGTTCTTGACATATCATATTTCACACTTTGATTCAAGTGGGTTATGAACTCCCATTTTTACCCCGTATACAGATTGCAGAATCATATCGGTTACACATCCACTGATTTACATATTGTCATACTAGTGTCTGTTGTATTCTGCTGCCTTTCCTATCCTCTACTATCACCCCTCCCCTCCCATCTTCTCTCTCTACCCCATCTACTGTAATTCATTTCTCCCCCTTGTTTTTTTTTTTTTTCCCTTTCCCCTCACTTCCTCTTGTATGTAATTTTGTATAACCATGAGGGTCTCCTTCCATTTCCATGCAATTTCCCTTCTCTCTCCCTTTCCCTCCCACCTCTCATCCCTGTTTAATGTTAATCTTCTCATGCTCTTCCTCCCTACTCTGTTCTTAGTTACTCTCCTTATATCAAAGACTGTTAAGAATATGAAGAAATCCATGTTGGCTGTCTAGGAAGATGGCTTTACAGGCATCTGGCCCTCCACAGTTGACTAGTCTTGGCTATTTCCTATTGGTCAAACCTCAGACAAAAGTAAACTAAAACCAATTCTTTTTAGGCTATTTGGCTGCCCTTTGTCACACCAGAATATCTTGGAAGACAGAATGTTGAACATGGAATGAGAGCTAAGGTCTTAAATGTTTTTAACTTGTACATGGACACAATACCGTTATTTTATTTATTTATGTGGTGCTGAGGATCCAACCCAGTGCCCCACGCATGCAAGGCAAGCACCCTACTACTGAACCCCAACCCCATCCCATACAACTGCCCTTTTATGTATCCATTCTTTCCCAGTTTTCTTGTGGTTATTTTAGACATTCAGTGTTTCTCCCCTACACCTTTCTAATGACAATTGGCCTTGCCTCTCATTTCAGATATGAATTCTCAGCTTCCTGACTGCAAGGAAGTTTTGGGTCACCCCCCACCCTCCACTTTGAGCAATAATGATCTACATTCAGTGATGGTTCAGAAAGTTCAATTACATGACAACAGTAGATACAGATGTCACATACTCCAGAAAGGTCACTCTAATACCCATTCTTCCCCTGCCTTGCTCTCCTATGGGAAGTTGGAAGAGCTCTCCACTTGCTTTCTTCTCAGTGCAGGAGCTTTGCATGGTGGTCCACACTTCAATACAAATTATGCTGTCTGCGTAATTCTGGAAGCTATCCTTTTTCTATTCACCTTAAGTGTAATGAAATTATAATTTGAAGACAGCAGGTGAAATTTATAGATTTTCCCAAGTTACCTGTACGGAGTTGGCTATATTTTATTGTCAGTAAGATGAAAACTGTTTACACTTTGTACTGGTGGATATTGGAGGAAGATGGCCCAAGGGTCTGAGTCCTCTGCTGGCACTGCTTAACAGAATCTGAGGCATGTTAAACTTTCTGCACCTTAGTTTCCTTATCTGTAGATTAACACTAACATCAGTCCTTAAGGTTGTTGCGACAAATAGGAGAATATATTTGTCATATACAATAAACAATCAAATGTTAGCTATTTTTTAACTAAATGGGCTGGACAATTTGATAAATTGTTTGACAGTTGGACAAATTGCATGGAGGGACGAAGACACTCACTTAGATGATTCTTCCACGTAGAGTGAACAGAAAGTTCAGTGGGAGAGAAGTGCCTACAATTAGAGATTTATATCCATGACACAGGCACTAATTCTAGTAATTCACCTGTCAAGTGATATTTCATTCCCTATTAGGGACCTGGACTAAGAATCAGTGAACTCCAACCTCCACCAAATCCATTTCCTTCAAGAGCTTTTTCTGGGGGGATCTGAGACTTGTAGTAGCCAAAAGTTAAAATGGGTGTCTAATTTTCATATATTCTCATCTTCTAAGTGTGTCTAGTTTTTCTAGCAACCTGACAGTTTTTAATATCCTATTTACTGGAAAAAATGCAAGCTTTACCCCACTTCTCCTAAACTTTAAAGGTAAATATAAACAAAAAAGGAGACAAATCAAGACAGGTGTCTGTACATCAGAGGCATCTCACAATGGAAAGAACTTGAAGGCTTCGTTGCAGCCTCCACACTCCTCTCACAGGAAGGTTTATTGGGAGGTTCAGTCCAGGTCATGGGAGGGTGTAACCTAAAGTGCCCTTACCTGTGAACAACTAGTTCTTTATCCTGGCCTGTCACAGTGCATTGCTAACTTGTTTTGAGCAACATTCAATCGTATATTTTTAGTAACTGTTGACCCTGGAACCTCAACACCTCAGTAATTCTAGAATGGACCACACATTTTCTGTATCAGTCACTTGGCTCCAGAAAAGTAAGCTTCCCAGTTGTTTCAGAGTTTTGTTTGTCTGTTTAGCATTCCTTTTGGGTCTCATGATTTATGGAATGATAAATGTCACTTAATGCTGAAAAGAAATAATTCTTGGATGGGCATATGTAAGATGAAAGGAAAAAAAATACTGTTAGCCAGACACTGCTGAGCTCACAGGTCAGAGAGGTTAAGGGAAGGGATCCGGGAGAGGAATTTTAGCTTGTGAGTTTCTTGAAGCAGCCTGGTTTAAGATAATAAAAGAGTCAGTGCTTAGTGGGAAGTGACAGGAAGGGCCTGCCCATTTAACCTCCTCCCAACCCAGTATCTTGCAAAATAAGTTAAGGAGGGTTTTTTTATACTGTAACTCAAGGTCAAGTAAAGACTGAGATATTCTTTCACCAAACAAAATGTAGAGTGTACCTGCCAGGGTCTTTTAGTAGATACCCTATCTAAAAATTCTGGTGGTTTTCTTTCTAGTCTCCATCCTTTAAAAGTTGATTAGGCAGGATAGCACCAAGGCCTACCTATCTTAAATACTAGAGAACACAAGACAGGGCGTGGTGATTTTTCTAATGGATCCTGTATGTTGAAGCAATTGCCCCTTCTGCCCAAGCTGGTTCTGCAGCAGAATGTCATGAAAGCAGAGATCTTAGGGCCTTCTACATGGCAAATACCATAACTTTGAGTTCACAGGAAATAGGGGTGTAGCCTTCAGGACAGTCACAACCTTCCCATCATTTCCTCCTCCCCTATTTCATTGATCATTCATTCTCAGTCTCCATCATAAGCTTCTTTTTTGGGTTCGTTCCTGCAGACTGCCATTTGCCTACTCAATACCCATTCTCCCCTTCAATTTTAGTAACAGTACCTTGATCTTTTTCAGAGAGATAATGGACCTGTAACAGGCTACACTGTCCAGCTTTCCTAGGTGTGGTCAGCATATGAAATAGAGTCAGTCATGTGGGACTTCTGCAATATCTTTTTTAAAGAATCTGACTTAAGGGCTGGGGATCTAGTTCAGTTGGTAGAGTGCTTCCTCGCATGCACAAGGCCTTGGGAACAATCCCCACCACCACAATCATCATCATCATCATCATCTGACTTAGCCAGAAGGACTTCCCTTTTT